CCACTTGTGCGATGCTGCGGGCCCGTCGCTCGGTTCGTCTGTCTTTTCCGCAGTCTTGTAGATCCACACGTCTTTCATGTGCGTTGGCGCCACCGAGCTCCGGCCACCGAGCAGCAAAAGCGCCTCCTCGGGCTCGCTGACCACCGGCGCGGCCTGGCCCTTGGTCGTCTTGGTCGCGTCTTGGGCGGGACGGTACTTGACAAGCGTGAGCGAGTGCCACGCGCGCGGCGCCGGCGCCTCGTCCTCGGTCTTTCGCGGCACCTACGGCGCAGGATTTGAGCTGCGATGGCACACGCGCGCCAACGCACCGCTTCGATCGTGAGGACGTTGGCGTCCAGTTGAAGCTTGTACACGTCGTCCAAGCTCTCGTAGGCATGCTTGTCGGTCGAAACAGCTTCGCCACCAAAGAGAAAGAGCGACGCCTTGGACGGCAGCGCCGCAAGACGGTGGCCTACGCCACACCTGCGTCACGACATGTATCTCTCTCGAGCTAGGGCGGCACCGATGCGCCGGGAGATGCGGCCCTGGACGTCGTAATCGTACAGGATCCGCTCGCTCGTTAGATCAAAAACAAGCACGAGCGCGCTCTCGTTGAAGTCTTCGCCCGGCGTCTCCCGCCCACCGAGCACAATCGCCCTACGCGATGACGTGATGCGACGAGCTCACCGAACTTGACGCACCGGTCGCCAAGGACGCCGACGACGGCGCCTGTGTAGCCAACGCAGTCGAGGTTCGTCTCTTTGTAGTTGCCATTCCACGAGTCGATCTCCTTGTGGCTGAAGAAAGCCATCCGTCCTCCGTGTTTCGATTCTAACGAGGTTGAGTAACCGCTCAAAACGCATCACAGTCGCAAGGGGCGAGGTTGCTTTTGAATGTCCTAGGCTGCAGCCATTTGGCTTGCCGACACGCTTGCTGCTGTGACGGAGGCAGTTGCGGGGGTGTGCGAGTAGCCACCTTGGAGCGTCGAGCACAAGAGGGGCTGACTATTGTAGTCTGGGATCTCGTACGCCTTGAGACCGCCGGGCCGATGCAGAGAACGCACGCACTTGGCATCGAAGAGACAGAAACCATGCAGACGTTGCCGATATATAGGTGTGGAGGCGCAGGTGCTGGCGGAGGTGTGGGATTCTGGGACGCACCTCCAGCGTCAAGCCACTCTGAGGGTCTACGTCTACAATACAACCGCGATCCCGAGCACGGTTGTGGGTGCAACACGTGTCCATGCTACCACTGCATTGCGCAAGCTCTTGTTGGTCTATCGCACTAACGCACCGACGAGCTGTAAAACTATTTTTGAAATGAATTTCAATCACCAGCATGACCAATTGGTTGCCAGGTCTTTCTTCAAGTCTTTGCCACGCTGCACAAAGACTTCCGTCCTGCAGCTAAAACCAAAAATAATGTTTGCGATGGACAACAATCGACTAGGACCGGTGCGATGATGGTGCTGTGAGCAAACCGTCGTCTTAGGTGGACACGCGCTCTTGATCCGCCGGAGTAGAGGTTACCCAACTTGCACCCTCTCCGGCGCCGGCTCATCGACAGTGGTCTCATCGAGAAAGAATTCCTCGTTTCCTTGAAGTACCTTTCTGAGACCCGATTCATACGGCGCGGGAGTGAATTCCATCTTGCAGACGGTCACGGGGTCTTTTGTTTCCTGACAGGATTGACATTGTGATCCCATAAAGCGCCGTCGCGCGCCTACGCACAGTGGCGCATATCGCTGCGCGCTTGTGACGGAGTGCAAAGTAGGAGACAGAACCACCGCTTCAGTATCACTGCAAGGATCTCCCACATGACATGATCGCCTCCCCGCGACGGAAATGGCACGGACCGAGATGCCGGTATGCTTTTGAACCGACAGTACGCACGACCAGCTTGTGTGACCCACTCCAGGACACATGATGCGGTATCCTGAGTCCCAAGCTCGGCTCCATGGCACTTGCATGGTCGAACTACTCGTTCAGCTTACTTGTACACGTTTGCGAGGTGTCGCCTCCGACCGCCATGGTATCGATGCTACACTATACTTGGAGTTCCCACCTGTATTAAATGATTCTGCACTGAATTGCTTCTCTATGCCCTTGGGCTGCGCTCGCTCTATATATTTGTACTGGATTTTCCATCCTCCAACGTGTCCGGCACCGCGAGTAGTACCCGTCGAGGATATGTAATGACCCCGTTGGACTCGAGAGTTGGCTGTGACGGGACACTCCTTGTTTTAGAATCAACTAGTGTCTTTATCATCCACCGAGATCATTTTTCTTTTTCGTCGGCTGTCATGAAGATCTGCTGCTTTCACGAGTGCACCAACGCGGCCATGGACGACGGCTCCTTCAAGTGCTTCTTCCACCGCAACCGGTCCATGTGCTCGATCGCCGAGTGCTGGAACCAAGTATATGCCCGCGGTCTCTGTGTTGGCCACGGCGGCCGCAAGTCCTGCGAGTTCCCCAACTGCGTTGGGAAGGCCCGCAGCGGGCAGTTCTGCACGCGCCACAACGCGCGGCTCGAGGCCAAGCGCATGTGCGGTGTCCCCGACTGCCCTCGTGTCGCCCACCGGAAGGGCAAGTGCACACGCCACGGCGGCGGCCGCCTCTGCCAAGTCGACGACTGCAAGACCCTCGCACGCAAGGGCGGGTACTGCTGGACCCACACCAAGCAGCTGCTGCAAGAGGCGCGCGCTGCTCAGGTGCTGGATGCGACCAACACTCCAGCTCTGCTGGAGAGCGACAGTTGTTACGATGCTCTAGACCACTCCATTTTGGACATGATCCTCGAGTTGGGACCGTCACAGACTAGTGTGTTTGAATGTACGATTTAGTGATCTGTGTACGGATTCAATCTTAATAGTCTGGAGCAAGTGCCGAGGAAACCACAAGATGTCGCAACGCTTACCACCGCGTAGAAAACGTGCTTTATAAGCGCCCAGCATACGCGTCACTTGACGTTTGCATGCTCCGACTCCCATTATGAGTGCAAGGTTTGCAAGCTCCTCCTTCCAAAGCTATTTACTGCGATATTTTCGCAGCTGTTTATAGTTGGAATGAAATGCGACGACAGACAATGTTGTGCAGCTCTTTGTGAAACACACGGCACCCGACAAGTGTGCAACGTTGCTAGGATACTACCGACTGAGACACAACGATTCAGTAGCCCACATACCGACGCCAAGATCGCCTTGTCGAAAAGGGTGCGCACTACGCAGTGTCTCAGCTGCGGCACCGTGCGGCACCTATAAATCCTGCTTTGATTCACACTGAATATCTAGTGTCGGAAGTATCGAAAGTATCGGTCCCTGTGCACGTGAGCTCCTCACGTCCCACGAACTGCAACACACACGACACCGCACTGTAGTACGGTACAGTCGGCAGACATTCATACTACCAGCATCTCGCCACCAGAATCGTTTTGGCGGTTGGGGTGCTTCGTTGTCATCGAGTGACCGCCCCGTGATACAGTGCCACGGAATTGCGGTGATGGACGTTGGGCCGCCCGTGGAAGAGCCCGATCACGTGACCGCCGTCTAGTGTTCGCTTATAAGCCTAACGCACCCGTTTCCAGCCGCTGAAGCGGGCTAGGCGGTCTACATCATATGCTGCTCGGGACGTTTCGTGACACACCAAATCCAGCAGCTCGATCAATTGAGGAGCCTCGTCCTCTCATTCTCACATTTACTTTCAAGCGCTTCACCATGTCGACGACGCCGATGGGCCACTTCTGCCTCCGCGCCCTCCAAGCCATCTGCGGCTTCACGGCGATGCTCACGGCCACATCGGTCACGGGCACTTCTGCTGGCGACTATGCAATGGTCGCGGGCTACACGGTCGGCATGATGGCGATGGCCATCGCGTTTCTGCTCGGCTTTCGGTCGTTTCCCCGCGTCGTGACGGCGCCGTGGATGCTCATTTCGCTCGACGCCGTGCTCGGCCTTTTCTCGCTCAGTGCCGGCATCGTGCTTCTCACGTCGACAGTGCTTACCAAGACGTGCTCGCTTCAAAAATTCATGTCGCGCAAGCTGCTCGACTGCACTGCGTTCTACGCCGCGATCGGATGCCTCTTCGCCGCTGCCTTCTTGCACCTCATGGCCATCGGCTTGACGCTCGGCGGCATCATTCGCGTGCAAGAATCGGACGCCGAGACGGTTCATACGCCCGTGATGGCCCACGCCGATTACCCCCGCGACGCCTCGCCCGCCTAGTAGGTCGCAACCGCTTTCGTTGAACATCAAGAGATGCCTCCGCGAGCTTGGAATCTTTTAAATTTTCAATAAGATCTTACTCGGAGGATTGCCCCAGATTCTCAGCGCGAACCGACGGCCGGATTCGCTCGTTGCGTTTGGAGATCGCCCGGGTTCACAACCGAACACTCGACGCTGATTGGCTGGACACGAGATTGCGGGAGCGGTTTTTTGCTCGCTATGGTTGTCACGACGATCGATAGCAGAGTCGAGGGAGCCTCGCCGTAGCGACTCGGAACATATCTGCATGCAGGGTGTTCTCTGCAGCTGGGGCGCTTCTCGGCCCGTGGCGCGATATCCGCGGGAGGATTCGCGCCCGCTGATTCGCCGCGACAAAGAAGCGTCCCACTTTCGGCCAGATTGCTTTTTGACGCCATGGTCGCAGCCCGCGTGCTCGGCTCCCGGGACCTGCTCCCGCTCGTCAGCGCCTACCAGCGCGGCACGCCCCAAGAGATACTCGAGCTGCGCGCGCTCCTCGACGCGATCGACCTCGCGGGCCTCCACGCGCTCTTGTTGGCGGCCGACGAGACGTATTCCGCCAATTGCTTTGCGGCGTTTGCAGCCTTTCACAAGCGCGTGTCGCCAGCTTCGCTCCTGCGCGTCGCCTTCACGAGGAGCCGCGCCGCCGCAGTCTACTACGCGCTTGTCCACGGCAACCTCTGTGTCGTCCGGGGCATGCGCACGTCGTCCCGCGCCGCCATCTCCAACTCGCAGTGGATCATCGCGGCGACCTTTGGCCACTTCCATGTGATCGAGTATCTGCACCGGCACGACTGGGCCAACTACGATCAACGCGCGATGAAGGCCGCGGCCATGCGGGGCAACCTCGCGATGGTAGTGTACCTCGAAGACCTCGGTTACTGGAGCCCACACGTGCTGCGCTGGGCGTGCACGGCGGGCCAACTGCACGTCGCAGAGTTTGCCAACGACCGCGAGACCACGAGATCGCTCGGCGCCGGCACGATCAACGACGTGGTGCGGTCCGGGAAC